CTGATGAAACCAGTTCACTCACAGAGGCTCCTGGGCCAGTAATAGGACGAATGTATAATTTCTCATCCACACCAGGAAAGTGTGCAAATGCAGACAAGGCAGGTGGCTGCAAGACAAATCAGCCAAAGCCAACCAGATGTCCGGGCACCTGGTGTGGACATGCTTTCCCGCAGCCCAGATTGTTTCAATTCATCATTTCTCAATTTTCCAAGCAGCAATTAACCTCAAGGCTGCACTAACATCTCTGGTGAGTTTACAGCCTCTGCTCCTCACTATCTACACTCTGACTTAGGGTACTCTTCAGCAGCAGGTTGATCCTAGATTCTGGGAAGTGCAGTTACATGGATCGCAATGCGGAAGTTCTCGTGACCTGCCGGACTTGGCAAGCTCCCACTAAAGATGGCACAGCCAGGAACCACAGGACTCAGGCCAGGGCAGGGAAAGTAGGAGGAGGCAGGCCCCGCTGTCAACCTCCATCTTCCCTTATCCATGGCAGGCATGGCGGGCACTGCAGGCCTGCAGGTGCAGTGGACTTCCAGGGGAGCCCTTCAGAAGACTCGAGAGCTGAGCAGAGTCCTCCAGGTGAAGAAGCAGGACACAGGTCTTTATTTCCCTTTTCTTCCAGAACTTCACCTGGATTAAAGACAGCCACCTTTCCCAGGTAGGGCACTTGCCTCCCTTGACTGGCTCAGACTTCTGATTATGCTAGGCTCTCGCCTGTAACTAGAACTTCCTGAGGAATCAGTGACTCTCTGGAACTCATCAGCAGAGAGTCTCCTGCCACGTACACGGTCATCCTTGTCTCTTTTAGCCACCCATGAAGTTTCTATTTTCCAAGAGGCCAAGGCCCCCAAGCCCCTTGCAGGGCAGTCCAGAATCACACAGTTTGGATCCCATGACAGAGCAAGTCTTCCTTCATAGAACACCCCTTCTCCTGCCCAGGTTTTCATGCTCTTTTGTGATGGCCTTCCCACTCTACCTTCCCTTAGGTGGGCAAGTAACACTGGATATGCAGGGAAAACTTTGAATTTCAGATGAACAACTTAACTTTCTAGTTTTTTTCTTTTTAAAAAAATATCTATTGCCTACCTTTTCCCAAGCCCCTCCACCAAATCTGGAAGAGACAGTTTCCAGAACCCTATCACAATTTTATCAGATCAAAAATATATACTTAAAGGCTTTTTAAACTTATTAACATGTGAGGGGGATGAAGTGGCAGTTATGTAATTACATAATAATTTGGTGGAGATGATATTTCAAATTATAGGATGCATAAAGGAAAGGTAATAAAAGGGTCTTGGGCTAAAGGCCTTCAAATCTGTGATATACAGAGCGCAGGCCCAGACCATGAAGTCCAGAAGGGCAGGGTCCTGCACTGGCAGAAAGTGCACAATCAGGCCAGGCACGGTGGCTCACACTTGTAATCCCAGAACTTTGGAAAGGCTGAGGCAGGCAGATCACCTGAGATAGGAGTTTGAGACCAGCCTGGCCAACATGGTGAAACCCCAACTTAGAAAATATAAAAAATTCACTGGGTGTGGTCATGCACACCTGTAATCTCAGCTACTCAGGAGGCTGAGGCAGGAGAATCACTTGAACCTGGGAGGCGGCCATTGCACTCTAGCCTGGGCAACAGAGTGAGACTCCGGCTCAAAAAGCAAAAAGGTAATGAATAAAAAGAAAGTGCACATTCAGATGATGTTTCCTCCCTGCCTCACACTCTTGGGAAGAGAAAAAAGAAGAGCTGCACAGATACCACGGTGTCTTCCGGAAGCTTCCCTAACTCCAGTATCAGTTCCAGACTGGACAGCCGGTAGGCTGCTCAGACAGTGGGTCAGAGGCTCACTGGATGTGCCAAGGCTTTCTGGCTTGGAGGCCCCATTCAGTGCCATTTTGCTAAAATTCTGTAACCAGATAATTAAAGTAAGTTTTATCTATGTATTTATTATTTTGTTTTGTGCTAATGTGCATGTGAAGTTAACAATTTTGGGCCCATTCCATGAACATGCTGCTGGTAAATACCCACTATAATGTCTCTTTTTGTTTTCTGAAAAATGTTATTTGAATGCAGATAAACAGTCATTGAAAATCAGTAGAGTGTGTGTCTTTTGGCCAAACAGCAGGAGAGCTGGGAAGGGAAGCGGAAAGGCCTGGGTAGTTTTCATTTGTCATTAGTGGAATCATCAGATTAATCAATGAAGAATGTATGATGTCTACCTTCATGAGGTCACTGCTGGTCTTACCAGACACCACAAAAAATACGAGGATGCTCTGAGCTGGGAAGTTAACATCCTGAGTGTTCCAGAATCATAAGCTTCAAATCCTAGGGTTTAATCCTGAAGTTATGCCATCAGGGAGCCAGTGGCCAGGTGAAGTGGAAAATATAAGCTATTTTCCCAATTTCAAAAGACCTGTGGAAATTAGCCCATGAATCCTATAAGTGAAAATATCCTCCAGCCAAAGACCTGGGGAATAGGCCTGAGTTGGGTCTATTATCTGTTGGAGGGAGAGACTACGCACAGGGCACGCCAGCCGGAGCTGTGGGGCGTATCAGGCAGAGGGTGTTTGCCAGGACTCATTTCAGAACTGGGGCTTGTGTTGGGCGATCTGGGGAGAGTATTCAAGGAAGTAGGGCTTTGCTCCAGATTTGGTGTTAAGAAGGAGATGCTACATGTGAGTTAATCTTATCTAGAGCCAAGTGGCAGTCTTTATTTATTTTTAAATTTATTTATTATACTTTAAGTTCTGGGGTATATGCGCAGATTGTGCAGGTTACATAGGTATATATGTGCCATGGTGGTGGTTTGCTGCATCCATCACCTCGTCATCTACATTAGGTATTTCTCCTAATGCTATCCCTCCCCAATCACCCCACCACCTGCTATTCCTCCCCTAGCCCCCAACCCCCCAGACCCTGGTGTGTGATGTTCCACTCCCTGTGTCCATGTGTTCTCATTGTTCAACACCCACGTATGAGTGAGAAAATGCAGTGTTTAGTTTTCTGTTCTTGTGTCAGTTTGCTAAGGATGATGGTTTCCAGCTTCATCTATGTCCCTGCAGAGGACATGAACTCATCCTTTTTTTCTGGCTACATAGTATTCCATCGTCTATATGTGCCACATTTTCTTTATCCAGTCTATCAAATTATAAAGCAGCAGCACTCACTTCCATGAGCTAGAAGAGTGGGACCTTGAGTCAATTTTATGGATTGAACCATGTTCTTGCCTGGTCTGTGTTCAGACCTAGCGACATGGTGCCTTTGTTCTTGTCTTAATCCATCACACGCACAAGTGGCCTCCCTGATGATGATGTTCAGTGAGCTGCTTACATTCATCAGGAGAGACCAAGGCCCAGCTGTGGGCACCAGCCCAGCTCCTGCATATCAGGGACCACCTTTGTCTTTCTTACAACAGAGCAATAATAACCAAGCAACACCAGGACTCAGTTAGCACTGAGTGTTCTTGTTTACTGTGGGACTTTACTGAATAATGTTTCATTACATTTCCTTTCTAGAAATGCTGGGAAGGCATAATTTGGTGGAGACGATATTTTAAATTATAGGATGCATAAAGGAAAGGTAATAAAAGGGTCTCGGGCTAAAGGCCTTCAAGTCTTGCCAGATGCAAGTGTGCAATGATGTGTTGCAGCCACGGAGCCAAATCCTGGGAGACCACAGGGGGATGACTGTGTCTGTCCCCATCGGTTCCCAGGAAACTCACTCCCCCAAACACTCCTACAGTGAGGTAGCTCCCTAAGTTAGGCAGCCTGTGTCCACGAGCTGCACCTGTAACTCTCCAGCACCTGAACACTTCATTCCACAAGCATTTCCAGACGGCCCACCTTCCCCTCAGGAACACAGAAGCCCCGTCTCACTGCTGGTCCCAACTAGATGAGCAGGCCCCTCCCTGCTGCTCAAAGCACAACCAGAAACCTGGCTCAGAGGCAACCAGAACTCTAAATGGTGATCAGAGGAAGACGGACTGGTTTGGGGACCCCAAAAGGGGAAAGAAGGCACAGCGACAGGATGTTTTATGCCCCCAAGTCCAGCAGAAGGTGACCCTAGCCTAGTACCCATGGCGGCCAGCTGGGCTTGCTCCCACTCTGATGGAACAGGGCTCTCTGACAATACCAGGCCAGCCTGACACCACTGACGGAGGAGGGACCTGAAGTCCTGTCCACATAAGAGGCCCTGGGGAGGCTCTCCTCCTCTAGTACTGACAGCCCCTCCTCCCCACCCAGAAATGCCTGGTGGGGGTGGGGGGCACCTGCAGGGGATCCAAGCCTCTTCTTCAGGCAGCCTGAGCTGGGAGACACTCGGGGCGCAGCCTGGAGAAACTCAGTCTTGTCCTGAGGCCACATCAGCAGGGATCCTGAGAGTCGCAAAGACCCCAGATAAACCAAGCAGAAGAAAAGAACACAGCAGCGACTCTGGAAATTAGACGCCAGTGGAACCACAGCCTGCCAGATGGGCCAGGATCCATGTGCCAAACGTAAACAGGCCACTGCCTTCTAAATCAAAAGGGTCACAGGGGACCCAGGTCACCTAACATGACAGGCAGAACGTCCATCACACAACTGAAAACTCACCAGCATTCCAAGAGTGCAGAAATCACCACCAGCATCAGCACCACCATCAGCTGCTGCCAAGACCCAAGCATCAGATGTTGGAATTATCTGACAAGGGTTCCAAGGTAGCTGCCATTAAAAATGCTTTGGCAATGACAGGTTCTCTTGAAATAAATGAAACACTGGGAAATCTCAGCCCTTTCCTCACAGCGCCAGGGCTGGCAGCCACTGCCGTGGTTCCCGGTCACACCTGAAAGCCCTCAGTGACTCCATTTAGGGGCGGGCGCCTTCGCCTGTCACACCTGAAAGCCCTCAGTGACTCCATTTAGGGG